ATTTCTCAAGCTGCCATATGTTGATAGTCATGGGGTTATGAAAGCAAAATGCACTGACGGAAGAAAAAATTCCCAACACCAAGAAGGATTTGTGCTAGATAAACAAAATTTGGTAGGCATGTTTATACATCTGAAAGATGACGTGTTATCAAATTTTTCACTAGGCGCATAAGTGTGGTGCTAGTAGTGCCACTATCAGCATGCAATCAAGCACGTATGGGACACCATGGATGACAACTCCCGTGTCATCCACAACCAGCATTAACTCTCCGATCTATTGACTGACCAAGTGCAACAGACAGGAAACTTCATCGTGCAAACTGACATCTGGCTTTCTGAAGGCATAAAGCTGTCCATAATGAAAATTAACTAGCCAACTCTGCAAAACTTGTTACTTTTTAAATGAAATGCATAATATCTTTTTGTTTCCTGCATTGCCCTCTGCGTTTTGCTGCTTCATCAAAGATGACAAACAGTAAGTCTATTATCAACACACCTTGTTGTTCAAAATACTGAAGGATGGTTTCAACAGCCTTTAGTCCCTTACTATATTATATTTTAGGGGCTTCTATGGTGGAGTCCTCAACATCAATGTCTTTGTCATTTTCTGGCATTTCTTCATTAACTGCAATAGCAGCAATAATTCTGCTTCAGACATAATGTCTTGCTTGGTATCATTCTGATGAAACAAATATTTCATGGAACCATTCTTTGAAAATTGCACATCTCATCCAGGCATTTGACTGGTTTAGGTAACAAACAGAATGTTTATCCATTTCATTTTCCTCAAATGCATGTGGTTTCTTTCATTTTCCTATGACAACAAGTTTTAATTTATTGTCACCTGTTGTATTACTACATGCTAAGATTGTTACCCACTCCTTGCTCCTTTTAAAACCAGAGGCTGACTGTTCTTCCTTGAAAGCAAGACTTTTTGCTGATGACAGATTATAATTTAACTGTGTTTCATCACAATTGTATAATTTCTCTCCTGTCAAACCTTCAATTTCGATAAATTTTTGAAAGTTTTCTTTAAATTGAGGTATACCCTTCATGTCAAGAGATAGTGTTACCCCACAAATACTAAGCTGTCACACATCGTATCTTCCAGCAATCAAACCAGCTAATGCTTGCGGCAAATTTAGGATCATTGCCCCCCCCTTTTTTTTTTTTTTTAAATTCTTCATAAAATTTTAAGGCCTTCTCTTGCAAGATTGGCTTACTAATTTGTGTGCCCGTCTCTCTTGTTTGGAAAGACCAAATGTAAAGTGCTTCATTTACCTCATTAAACTCACTTTTTTACATACCTTTCCTTTCTTTCAGTGTTGTATACGTTGTCTTAACACACTATGACTCTTTCCATCCATTTTTTCTTCCAGTCTTCAGTTGTACTTTTGCTGGCTCCCAAGTCCTTATCCACTGCACTGACACTTTCTCCCTTATCCATTTTTCTTAATGCCTTCCAACTTTTGCTCCGTATACAAGTTCACTTGTTTTCTTTTAATGGAAGATGCCATCACAGAGTAGTGTCTAGCACTCACAAACTTTGAAAATGTAAACTGTCCTTACATTTTTGTTTTATTAAATAGAACCACTACTATTTAGTTGTAAAATTAAGTTGCACTTTTAATTGCATGCATTTTTAGTCATGTATCTTTAGTCATTTAGCCTTAATTATGATCAAATGCTATTCTTTTGTGCTTTATGTTTTTATCATTGCTGAGTTAGATGTTTATGTGAAAATATGTGTAAACATATTGTACATTAATGTTAAAGTGCATTCATATTATTTTATGTGAATTATGCTATGGCATATGAAATAAATTATTATTAGGTACCCAGCATGAAATTTGTAACATTTGCAGTAAATCATTCAGTAAGAGCATTACACAATCAAACAGAATTTTACATCTAGATTTTTCTAGTTTTTTCTTATGTATGTATAATTTATAAATTAAAAATTATATAACTCTTATGCTGTAGCCTTAAAAGGTTTGCCATTTTATTCTTTGCTGATGATTGAGCCACTATAAGTTGTTCAGAAATATTCTGGCAGTTTTATGAAGTTCAGAATTGGATTTAAATTTATGATGTTTTTATATTGTATGCAACTATATGGCATTATAGAAAGGTAAATTTTTAGTAATTTAGTCTACCATTGCAGTATATTAAGCCTTTGTTTTTTTACATTTTCCCACAGCAATGACATAAGGTGTTTTTAGGACATTTCTTTACTTACTTCTAAGATATTATTCTTGTAAAATTGGTCCACTTCCTGCATTCATAGCATTCCACAAAATATGTATGTTGTATAGATACAACTATAGTCCGATAGGTGAAGAGGAGTGGTAAGCATTGTTTTACAGGGTAGCCACACTACCTGGAAAACCGGAAAAAGTCAGGGAATTCGGAAATTGACCAAAAAATTCAGGGAAAAGTCAGGGAATTTAAGTGTTTTAGTCAAAATCTGGAAAAGTCAGGGAATTTCATACAGCGATCCCACCAAAAAAGGCGAGTTTTGCGCCGACGTCGGAAGAGATCACTTTTTTGGCGAATTGTGTATCACGTGAGTGTCATTTGGGCAGCTGGCATAGAGCCAATTTTCGCAGCTCCAATTTGATTGTCTTTTAGAAAGGCAAAGCAAGTTTCCCGCAACTTTTGGTTTCCAGTAACCTCGAGAATCGCACGTGCAGTGCATGAACTAAAGAAAGTACCTGTTCTCGTATAAAACAAAATGGGTTTAATCCTAGTATACGGTACCTTGAAGGTTAGAATCAAAAAATATGTATTGTAAAGAAGAAAAACCTCTCTGCAACAGACGTGGCTCCGTTCCATCATAGACGGAAACAGCTGTGCCTGCGCGATATATCTGTCGCCAAAGCTCGAAACCGGTGTCGAAGTTCGAAGGTCACGTTATCAAGAGTTCATAAAATGAATATTGTTTAAAATTTCTTTAAACTCTAAAGGAAAAGGAAATATTTTTTGGCACAAGTAAATTAATTCATGGATTAGTTATTTTGAGAGGAAAAAAAAAAAAAAAACTACGAAAATCCGTCTTTAAAATTATTGCGAAAAGTCCAAGAAAAACGTTTCTTCTTGGATTTTTCGCAATAATTTAAAAACGGATTTTCGTAGTTTTCTTTTTTGTCAAAGAACCAGAGTCGTAGCTAGGGTTTTCAGCGCCCAGGGACAACTGAAGATTTCGCACCCCCTACTGCTTGCCAAGGATGGAAAAGATTTAATTCTAAAATATCGTAACATCAGTTTGGCGCCATTCGGATTCTGCGCCCGGGGACAGATGCCCCCCTCTAGCTACGCCCCTGCAAAGAACGTTTCTTCTTAACACATGTTTCTCAATTTCCTGTACACATCGTGGAGAGGGAAATTCTGGCCGCCAGTTTCCGTCGGCAAATCCCTTGGCAAATTTTCCCTTCGCTTTCTAGCCGCGTAATAGCTTTTACGTGTATGGAACCTTTTCTTCTTTACATAGACGTTCTTTGGTTAGAATAATCTCCATGTATGGTACAGCGGGATTTGGCGACATTATGATGAGCAGTAAACGGGTCATTTTGTTCTTGGCGACAATTTTCAAAATCGTGCGAAGGCCGTACCGTATACTAGGATTTTACCGCAAAATCTTTTTTTTTTTTTTTTTCTTTTCTTTTTAATAAATACCTTGTCATTTTGCAGTAAAATAAAAAAAATAGTAATCAGTCATCTAGGCTAACCATGTAATATAACTATATTCGCTAAAACATCGTTGATTGTTCTAATTCAATTTTTAAGTAATTATCTTTATTTTTATGTTATTCATATCATTTAACGTTGCTTCTTCCCTCTAAATTTATTTATCATTAGTAAATAATATTTCCAAATTTGAGGAAATTTTCTCTGGCATAATCCTGAAATTAATTCTAGCAGTATGATGACATCACGAAATTTAATGCACATATTTTTTCCTTATGTATGCTGCGAAATAAATATAAAATACCTCAATTTAGTAAAAAAAAAAAAAAATATCATTAAATAGATTTCTTTCTTTCATTTAGCTGTAGAATGTCTGCAAAAAAAGCTTTATTTTATTCCAGATTGGGCAGATTCTAATCTCAATCTTCAGTGGAGAAAACAACTCCTATTATAATTATATTTGTGTTTTCAAGTGTTAAGGTGCCTTTTAAGAAGACACCTCACACAAATTAAATTTACCTAAAATCTAACGTAACTTTTAGCATTGCGTTGTGATTTATAAGAACCGTATTAGCCTCATGTTGAACTGGTGATGATCATGAGTAATAATTAAATAAAACATACAATTGTTATCCAATGTATATATCTTAAATTTTATTAAGTTTCTTAAGTGGAAAAGTAAACAAAGTTATCAAACAAAGTGTACCAAGAATAATTAAGAATAAATGTCCTCTGGGATTTATTGTACAATTAAGTGAATTTGCTACACAGTACAAGTAATGCCATAATTAATTTACCTCTTAGCACAGCCAACGTACATTACGCGGATAGACTGGAATTTTCTCGAAACATACCTGGAAAAGTCAGGGAATTTCATTCTCCTGTTTGAGTGGCAACCCTGGTTTTATCTAGGAGACCCAAATCCTTTAAAAGACCTAAATGAAGTGTCCCCCCCCCCGAGGTAACCAAACTGTTATTTAGGGTAGGAAAGATGAAACCTTAGTTCGCTCAGCTTAGCCTTGTGTCCTTTTTGGGGACAGTAAGTCCCATTAATGACCTTGTAGTTAAGATGACTGAATACTAGGATTTTGACCTGGGTTCGAACCCAAGCAAATGGGCTAACTGCATGTTTGATTTTCTAGCCTTTTCCCTTGTATAATGTATCACCAGCTTTGCTGTATTCCAACAACCTAATCTAACTTTTTTGTAGATTCTTAGAGACCCTCTGCTGTAATTTGAGATGAATATATGTATGTTGTGCATTATCACATAAAAGTATTAAGTTTGGCCTTTTCTTATTTGCATGCACATAGATTATTTTCCGTACAAGTTCTGGAATCATTTCTGGTGAATATGGGCCAAGTATGGAAATGCATCATGACTGGACAGTTATTTCAGGTGTTGAAGAATTTTTGCTTCAAAGTCCTACCTCTGGCAAAAGCATTTTTTCAACTGAATATAAAGATTTCAAGCTTCCTTATGGTGTTTCACATTTGAATGTAAAAGAAGCTCATGTTTCTAGGGTAATATTTTTTTTTAATATGAATGATCTTCCATTATGCACATTTGTCAGACAAAATCACCTATAGTAAAATGTCATATTGGGTTTCAGTTTATGATGCATATTATCTTTCATTCTGTTACAAGAGTTAACAATTTTTCAGAGTATCCATGCTTTTAATAAGTGTTAAATGAAAATTTCATTTACATGCAGGTAAAATTGTACTTAATACTGATGGCAATATGACTGAAACATTTATAAAAATTAATATGGGTTTTATTATGGGCCCCCAAACTCCCACTTTTTTACTTATACTTTTTAGTAAACAAATGGAAAAGCCCCACTAGTGGATAAGTGTGCATTAGGAGAATGAGTAATGGTAGTTCACCATTGGTTTGGTTTCTGCTATTTAAGCAGGCTGTGAATTTAAAAATGTGCAGTTATTGACGTTTAATTTTAAACAGCATCTGCAGTCACATTGAAGTGTTTGTGGTATAATGTATCTCTGAGTATACTAATAGGTCATGTTTTAAGAAGTGCATGATTTATCTGATTTGGGAATTAAATCAATATTAAAACTAATTTATTCAAAATTTATTTGACTGAGAATTTAAAAGATGATGCATTGTGGAGAAAGCCATGAGGAAGAGTTTATTGAGGTTCATATAGATCATAAGGACCCTTAGGACCATATAATGGCAGTATTTATTGCCTCACATTCAGGCAGGCTTGTTAGGATTTGTGAGGCTTTTTTTATTTGTAGCATAAATATGGGCTATTGTGTATTTCCAGATGTAAGGTAATCTCTGTACAAGCTGAAAGTGCATTTTTTTCTTCAAATATTTACCTAAAATTCAAACCAGTATATTAACTGAAATTAAGCAAAAAATTACTTTAACATTCAAACATGTCATCATGAGCGCAAAAATGTTGCCCAGGTAAAATAAGTGAATTATTTTCCAATCATATTACTGTAAAGTAAAATGCAAGATGCCAAATATTATAATTTTAACTCTGTAAGCTTATTTGAAGCTAGTACATGTTTTCCATTCATTTATTATCTTGTGTGCAATCTGTGTTAGTCTTATTTTCTGTGCTTTTTTTTTTTTTTTTTTTTTTTTTTTTTTTTTTGTCAAAGAAAAAGTAAGAGAAATACTTACATGGCAAATTTCAAACTGCATGTGATCACATTTATTGAAAATTCCAACAGCTGTATGGTGGTCCCATAAATGAAAAATAAATTAAAGACTAGAGAAAGTTGTGTGCAGATTTCAAGAACATCAGATTTTTCGCTTTGACAATGACATATCAATCCAGCATTATAAACAATATCGAAAACAAAATAACTCATTTTCATAAAACAAGTATCTCATTTCATTTGAATTTTTTTTCATAAAATCGAGAAGCATAAGCTAAAGAAATAAAACAAAAGTGTGATATCTGGTGATTTATTGCTTGTGCCCGGCCAGCGGAAGAGTGCCTGTGATTTAACTGCATTGATTCTTTATACCAGTGTTCTCAAACTGGTGGCCCTCCAAAGCAATTTTAAATGGCCCATGAACATTTGTAACAAGAATTTGAGGATTTAATGATATTTTTAGGTCAATATTACATTATTTGCATTATCATTAAAAACAAATGTGATGCCCCAGAAAATATTAGTTAATTTACTAATTAATTTACAGTGTGATTGATACAAGTCTTTTTATTATTTTTTAATTAATTTACAGTGTGATTGATACAAGTCTTTTTCACAAATTTGTAAATAAATATATTTTTTCCCGTACTTTTCAAAAGTTAAATATTGTCAGCTTTGAACTTTTGCAATAACAATAGTCACTTTGTTTGAGAGTATATTTTTAAGTGAACATCCTCCCCTCAATGCAGTTGAAAATTGAAGTCCAAAAAAGAACTAGATTGACCAATGAGCACCTGCAATTTTTGATGAAGATAGTTTCTAGTAATTTCTCTTCAAAGTTACAAACTTTATGAAGATAGTTTCTAGCAATTTCTCTCCAAGGTTACAAACTTTACCAAAATTGAAATGCTATGTGGTGCTGTAGCAGAGTGTTGTAATAAGAAATAAAGAAGTTTTTAATCATTTACATAAAAATATATGTATTTTTCTGTGTGCATCAGAGAAAAATTTAATAAAAATTAGAATGGGAATAACATGTAATTAATTATTCTCAAGTTTTTATAATTTGTATATTTTTAGTTCAAGTTATTTAATGGTTAATTCAACTGGAATTATTGGAAATAAATGTAAGTCTGAAAAATTTAGCATTTAACTGTTAGTACATGTGATTTACAAAGTGTAACCATCTGCAATTTCTTGCAAATGCCAGCTTTTAGATTTCAGGCAAAAAGTAAATATAGATTGAAGTTTTTCCTTTGAGTCATATTATTACTAATGTATGCTTTGATAAATATTTAGTAAATGAAATTTAAAATTTAACTTTGTTAAAGAAAAACCTTTTCATTTTGTTCAAGAAAAGTTGGCCTGTCAGGTGCTTTCAGATCGTGCATTAGATCCACATGCATTTGAGTTGGAGACTACTGCTTTATTCGATATCAAAGTTAAAACTGTGTCTGCAGCAACTGTGTAATATCATTTGACATAACTTTGACGTTGGAGCATATTTTGCATCAGAGTTTTAAAACCTTGTGCAAAATATGAAGCATACTTTTTAGTGCCAGCTACAGTGCAGTAACAAAATAGAATGCTTCCACGGGTCACAGAAGACTGCACTGAAAACAATGAATTCTACATATCTCATTTTGTCATGCAAGGTAATGCAATTTTTTGTTTCAGTGCACAGCAGAAATCATTGAATTTGTAAAAGAAGTACACTGTAGAAAAATTGGTACTTAGCATATTATTGCAACCATCTTAATAGAAGTCGCCAAACTCTGGCAACTATGCACCTAACAGTTCTTGAGGTAACCATATCTATTGTAAGTTGCAATCCGAAAATTCACTGAATCACTGTTATTTCTGTAAAAAATCTCCAAACTGTGTCAAGGTGGTTGTGTTAATATGTAAGTACCAAAAAGTCTAATTTAAATATGCATGTACTGAATAACAAAACTTTTCCTCAGTCTTTCGATTCCTATTTCCTTAGTGTATTTTTCTTTTTCCTGCTTCTGTATTCTGATCAGGAAGGCATTCAAGCATTGTGATGAGGATACTGATGATATGTTGTGATAAATAAAACAGGTTTCTTTTTTGTAACTTTTTCATGAAGAACTTTCTGAACTGGTTTTACTGGAGGAACTTAATTCATGTCGAATCGGTTCTTGCAAAAATAACTTCATAATAGGTTTAAATTTTCATGGTTTCTGAATTATTTTTCAAATGGAAGAACTTTAATAGTTGTATTCAATTAGGTGTTAAAGCACTGTTTGGCATGTACGATAAATAATAAAAATGGGGAGTTCTCTTGTCACCAAAGGTATTACTTATACATTTTCAAAATAAAAGCAAGTAATAATTATAATAATAGTAATTTAATGTTTATTTCAAATTGTGCCATTTAAAATCAAGTCAGGGCAAGAATATTAAAGTCATTATGAAAACAGTTTGAGTCTAAGAACTAGATTTTTACATTTAAGGCTGACAGAATTGCTCGGCTCACTCAGCTGACTGTTGTTTGTAGTATCCATATTGTCGCAATTAAAAATTTCAATATTTCTTAATTCTACTAAAACTGTTTGCATGCAGAAAAAGGCAAATAAATTTTAAAACCTGCATAATATAGCATGGCATAAAGATATACATATTTTCTGAATCAAATTTTTGCATAAATGCATATGATATTGTTAGACCTGATATTTTTGCCTACCTGACAGTATGTGCTTAAATGACAGCAGTTGTTTTCAACTGCATTAACTTTTGTTTACAGTGAGATGTTACTAGTATGTTAGTCTTGTTGCAAATGATAATTTTCCAGAAAATTTGGATTTGCTTCATGTTACTAAATGCAGGCCAAAATTCTTCATTTAATTTCAAGGATGAAGAGCCTCTAAGTAATTTTGGTGTAAATTTTTTTTTTTTTTTTTTTTTTTTTTTTTTTTTTAGATTACTGGGCAAAATTTGCCAATAGTTTCTTTAGTCATGTGGCATATTTCTGCTATTGCTCTGAATGAAAGCAATTATCATTTTAAACAATTCCTTCACATTTTTACACATTCTTGATGATATTTATGGAAATGGAATAGTGATGAGCAACTGGCTTACTTAATCTTCAATCTGCTGAAATTTTACCATTAACTGAAACATAGAATTGTAGCAGAGGCTCTACTAAATCATTAGTATGAAGCAGGGAGTAAAGAGCTCACACAAAAATTATTTTCTTGCAACGGTCAGTCTTTATGATTGTACAATGAACCTTGGGGATTTATCACTAGAAAAGGAGATTTCTTTGTACATTTCCAGAAACTTAACTGAACTCTTTTTTTAAAAAAAATAGCAAAGAATGTGCCTTTCTAGTGTCCTACTGCCTTTGCCCGTTGCACATGAGCAGCTCTGCTTTAATAGTATGTCATAGCTGCCAACTCTCCCAGTTTTAACAAGACTCACATCATCTGCTTTCCCAGTAGATCACTGAATCTCCTGGTTTTTCGTTTTTAGCCTTTATCAAGGAAAATGTTTCCCAGCAATAAATGAAATTTATTGAATTAATGATATTTAAATTATATAGATTCAATTTTTCTACCTTTAATGATTTTCTGAATAATTTTTCTTATTGAATTATATTTCATTTGAATTACACTTCTTTTATTAAATGCTATTTCTTGTGAATTATATTTTTTTCTTATAACTTTATTCATCTTATTAAATTCTTTATCTAAGTTGTCTTAATCTGCTGCAGACATTTATACACTTTGTATGAAGATTCAAACAACGTTTAATCATGAATATTTGTATTTGATTTTCTTTACTTCAATACATGGTACATTACTAAATTTATCTGCACATATACTATGTACATTGATTATTAATTTTATTTTCATCATATT